AACATGTTTCCATGTTATTTCTCTCGCTTAACTAGATTTTAAGGAGGATTTTTCTCTACTCTAATACAAACAATACTGGCATTTTTAAAGCCATTTAAGGAAGAACACTTTCTAACCTCCTGATGGTCTCAGAGACTATCATATTTTTGATGTACTAGAGCGAAGAAAAATTCTTGTTGAAATTTAATTGATTGAGAGGAATAACGTAGAAATTCTACTTGTCTTGAATGTTGGCAAACTTTAATCAGTTTTTCAAAATTGTGACTAACATAAAGTAGGATTTTCTATACGAACAACAGACTGAAAAATTTCCAGAAGTCACCTAAAAATTTCTTTTAATTAAGTTGCATTTAAACAGCTAATTCAATCCTTATTTTATCGGATGGCTTTCAGTGTTACGAGGAAGATGTTGGATCGGTGTGACGATGCAAATTAGTCTCACTTTTACTGTACTTCTTTTATTTCATGTCTAGATGAAACAAACTTCATTTTTCGAGAACAGGGAAAAAGCAAAAGTTGTTCAGCTAAATATACATGTGCCGATATTTACAAATTGCCAAATCATTTTAAAAATAAAGAATACGACAAGAAAAATATATCGCATAGTCAATTCATATAGGGAATCAATCGATTCCTCTTAACATTGTCACATTTGAATCACATAGAAAGAATAATAGAAATGAGAGAAAATTGATCTGCGATTTTTTTTAGTTAAAATAAGTTTGTATGATTTAACATAATATGTGTAATTGTTTCATAAATTGTGGACCAATGATGGAATTGTTTTTGGAATAGTGAGTCTGTACATTGGGAAAAGAAAAAATTCTTGTAGTTATAAATACCACATGACTGTGACATTGCATATGAGGAGTTTTCCAAGATCAAAACCTATATCTTAGAATCTTCTTCTACCTACATACACGTTTAATATGATACATTTATTATCACTACAGGATTTGGTACACATCAATTCACACCCCCAACTAATAAGAGTAGTAAAAGATACTACCTATTATGCCCGCTACACAACTCTTCCAAATTTAGATAACAGATTTAGAAGGTTTCATGTCATTAGACCTTTGCTCTCGACTTACGTTCCTTTAACTAAAAGTTCAGCTTATAGCAGGCTATTATTAAATAAAACTCCAACATAAGCTCTCTGCCTGAAATTTCACCTAATAAAAGATCTTATTGTCTCTATGATACCATGAGAGTCTCACGTCAGTTCAAACTAAAGACTGAAACGGAAAGAATTTCTTGATTTCTACCTTGATTCAATGCTCTTTGAGTAACAATTTTTCCTGCAGTTAGAACCTTACTTTAGTTTTTTGCATCGTTTCAGTCTCTAACATTTTGGACATAACTGAGAAATTCGATAGAGAAATTGTCCATTTTTCAGCGTCTTGTTCAAATCAGTATTTCTCTTCGAAAATAACACATTCTTTAGATATCTGATATCTTCAGAAGAAAATAACCTTTTCAGCTGAAACTTTCAGAATATTGTAAGGATCACGAGACTTATTATTGGATGAAATCGCAGACACAAACTCCATACTGCGGTATTTTTCGTAATGTCCAACAAAACAACTACAACTCAAGACGAAAGGTCAAATACCACGAATCTTGTTAAGATTTTTACCCATACTATGAATCCTATCTATGAATAAGATAAGAAGGATTGACCCAAGTTTCTTTTGGCGTTCTTATGCTACTTGATATACTTGGAAATAATGTATAATTAAATGATCAATGCTTGAATAATGATTTTATGATATACATGTTTCACGGTCATTCATGGCATTGATTATTAGGTGTGAATGTGGGTGAGAGTCTTTTCCTCATCCACACGTATACTTATCCAAAGTCTTCGAAAAATCAAGTCATTTAGTTCTATACTTTCAAAGACTTTGCAAAGTATTATAATGTTTAAGCAATTTTTTTGACAATGTTTACACAAATTCCTCTGAATATTTTTATTTATATAATAAACCCATTCATGGAATACTACCATACGAAATGGATTCTGTTGGAATGAGAAACAAGAAAACTAGTCAGATAACATATTTTCGAGAGGAGAATGATGCCTTTGTAACTTTATAAAAAGCGAACTCATAATAAAATGAAAGCTTACCTGATATCGATGATATGTGTTGGTAATGGCATTCAGTCTAGTGCAGACATTACGGCATGAGAGGAAAATTGCTTTTGGTTCGAGATTATCGAGAATTCGATAAACCAACTCGACCGGTAATGTATGAAATGGTGCACTCATTTTTTTAGACATTGATACTGTTGCTTTCGGAATTCAAGTGTTCTTTGAGATGCTTCGTTATCGTTTAAATCTTCTTTTGTATATTTTGTGTTATAGAATTTCTTATCTCTCTCTAAAACAAAGAACGTATGATTTGCCCGACACAATAAGAAGTTTCGATAGAAGCATTTACAAATTATCTCAGAAAAAAAAACAAACCAAAAGTTTCGACGACAATTAAATGAAGACTCAACAGACAAGCATCGCGAATATAAACATTTCTAATCACTATATCATAATATACATGATCTCAACAAAAATAAAAATCGATTACTATTGTTTTATTGATATTTTACTTATTAAAAAAGAATATTATTTCTCTAGACTATTTTGATCAAAGATTGGATCATGATTAGAAAAGCGTTAGGTAGGTGTAGGGTGTGGGTGTTGGTGTTGGTGCGGGTGCTGATTTAATTTACATTCACACCCAGACCCAGACCCACACCCATATCTGAATATAGTGAGCATAGTGGGTTTTTTTTATCAACGACGGTTTTTACCAAATTGCAAGTTCGCCAAAATATTTTCCCTTATTTCAATCATCAAGACTCCTATGTTTGTCTGCATCTACACCCATTGACATGACTCATTTCACTCATTCTGTTACTTCTATGAGAAAAAGCCTCCCTTACAGGTGAGATTTTGTGAAACACGTCATCGACATAATACAAATCGTCTTACTATGGTTTATTCCATTTTTTAATACGAGGTTTTTTCCATTAATGACGATTTTTACCAAATTATACTTTGGACGAAAAATTTTCCTTTGTCCCAATCATTGAAACTCGCACATTTACCTGCATATATATATCCACGTTCTTCACTCACTCCAGTACTTTTTCATCCATTCTTAGTTTTCATTCGATGATAACAAGGGGAAAATCTCAATCGATGGTGTAAATCATCGTGACCGAGTCCAATCCCTCTTTCTCTACAAACCATTTAAAAGCCTTTCATCGCTTCAAAAGGTGTCCAGTAGAGAGATCTTTTACTTACGTTATAAATTTATATTAACGATTTTTCAGATTTACTTTTTACACTCGATTTCCTTTCTGTGTTTCAAATAGAAAATGGCAGATAACTACTTGATTATAATATATCGTGGACAATCAAATAGATGTCCGTCTCCTGCTCCTGATATGAAGATTAAAGACTTCATTAATATGCTCAAGGAAGATTTTGACAGTGATATGACTAAGTCCTTCAGTCTGTTTTATAACAACGATCGATTGTTTCCATCAAGAACAATTCATGAATATGGTCTCAAGTCAGGCACCGAGCTTCGATTGGAAGAAATCATATCTCAAGCTTCTATAAGTATTTGTATTCAAACATTGGCTGGTGAACAGTTTGAATATAATATGAACGAAAATGCTACTCTTGAGGATTTATTTTCTAAACTTCTTACTGATGAGAAATTCTTGTTTATCAAAACTTTTCCAATTCTCTTCAATCATCGTATGCACCTTTGGAAATCGAAAGAATTACTTACGAGTTACTTGAAGCTGCATAAACGCAATAACGAGTCCAAAAACAAAGTTCCAGATTTTTATCTATTTGAATGTCAACGTCAATTTGAAACACACTATCTTAATTACCAAAAAGCAGAAGAATGTGAAATATTTCTGGCTGACGATTTTTGGCAACCTTTAGGTTGTGTGAAACAAAACAAAATGGCCATGTCAATATTCCTTATTTCATTGAGAGTTCTGAAGATTGCATTTTTAAGTCCATCGGAGTCAGAAATCGATGCAATCAACTTTAATCATATTTCTAACTTTCTGCTTATTCTTCGTCAATTTCTGTTTCCACCAGCATGTCTGGCATTATATCATTTGCTAGAAGGAGAATGTTTTCTATTCGAGAAACAACTCGTTAGTGAAGCATTCTTTCGACTATTTCGGGAAATACTTCCACAATCTATGGTGAAAGATAGTGATGTCTTCCTGTACACGCCTCATATTTTTTATCATTTATTCGAAAGTATACAGCATTCTTTAACAAAATTCGATTGTTACCAATCTGTTCAAATTCTATCAAATGCCGATGATCGATTTATTGTCAAGGAGTTGATCGATGCACAGAACGAAGAAAGAATCAATGGGAATTTTGTGCGCCAACCTGATTTAATTGCTCTTGTTGCATGGATAAAACAAAAATCAGATGAAGATATTATTAAAAAATACTTTAAGTAAGTTATAAAATACTTTCTAATTTCGATAGTTTTAATTATTGTTTTTCTTTTTGCAGAAATTATCGCATATGGGTTCCCACTGAACAGAACAATATGTTTTCTATTGGTAATGTGTTTGAACAGAGATTAAAAGTACTTATGCTTTCAGAAGAGGAAATTAAAAATATTCATAATCATCTGAGACAAAATTGTATTTATCGTCAATTCACATTTGCAAAGCCGTCGACTTTTGACAAAACGAAATATAATCAGTTCATCCTACTTAAAAGTAATCATGTTGTCTATCTGATTGAACAAGAGAAAAGTGGAGATAATTATAAATGTTTTGATCCTTTCGGGGATCAATCACGAAATACTTTCAAAAAGGAAGATATTGCCAATGATGATGACTTGAACCAATATTCTTATTTTCCTGTTCGAGAAAGTTTAGAAGACACACAACTTATCAAACAGATCACTGTCTTGCTCTTCGATGTTAGTAGTTCAATGAAGTCAATGGTAGGAAAACAACGAGACAACCAGCAAAGCTTACTTGATCTTAGTACCATTGCACTTGGCATATGGTGTGATAAAATTGTTGGCTATCGATTTCCACAAGCTATTGGACTTATATATTTTGGTGCTGATGCCATTCCAATTAATCAGAAATGTCCAATCTCGAAAGATCTGAGTCAGCTTGAGAAGGCATCAAGCAATCTACCAAAATGTGGCGGTACGACTCCTATGTACGATGCCATCGAAATGGCTATTCAATCAATTACTAGCTTTCGCAAGGATAACGAAAAGCAATTGTGTACTGAATGTCGTTCTCTCATTGTTTGTTTTTCAGATGGTGAAGACAATAGCAGCGTAAAAGCATCAGTTGGAACAATTAAATCGAAATTAAAAAATGAAAAGATTGTTTTCGATACCATTGCATTTATGAAACATGAATCGTCAAACCTAGTTCAACTCTGTGAGGCTAC